TAACCTTAATATCAATGTATGTATGTATGTTTGTATGTATGTGTGTATGTGTGTATGTATGTATGTATGTATGTATGTATGTATGTATGTATGTATGTATGTATGTATGTATGTATGTTTGTATGTATCTATGTATGTGTGTATGTATGTATGTATGTAGGTTTGTATGTATGAATGTGTGTATGTATGTATGTAGGTTTGTATGTATGAATGTGTTGATGTATGTATGTACGTATGTGTGTATGTATGTGTGTATGTATGTGTATTTGTGTTTGTATGTGTGTGTGTATTCTGTGGCTGTCTAAAGGGGTACAAAGAAAATGTACAAACATTTGACTGAACATGTGAACAGATGTGTCTTGGCACAAGTGCTTTCTCAGCAGTGTGCCATACAAAATACAAATAATTTTATTTAGTTGTTTGTTTGTGAGTTTTTTTGTATGTTTGTATGCGTGTTTTGTATATTTTACGGGTTTCAATCATTTATTTATTTTTAGTTTATTCTTTTATAAGTTCATTCGTTCATTCATTCATTAATTCGTTCGTTTCATTCATCCATTCATTCATTTTTTTTATTCTTTCATTAGAGTCACATTCATTCGGTCAGTCATTTAATTCATTCACTCATCTGTCTATCGTATGGAGCTCAAAAATGATTTGAAGGAATCAATTTGAAATCCATCCGTCCATCCATCTTTTCATTCATTTACATACTTCATCATCGTCGTCGTCGTCGTCATAATCATCATCGTCGCCATCATCATCATCGTCGTCTTTGTCACACACACACGCACACATACACACACACACAAACACACACACACACAGACACACATTCATCCCACTCAGACTAACGAAACATCTAGTATCGGATAATTAATTTATGTATGCAATTAACACGATGGGACACACACACATATATATACAAACATATATGCACACTTATATACATACATACATACATACATACATACATACATACATACATACATACATACATACATACATACATACA